GGGACGCGGGTGTGGGATCTCAGCAGAGCATGCAGAGCTTGGGGGGGGTCTCCGGGTGTGTCTCTTGCCTTTTTCTTGGCCAGTCCCGGGATCTATATGTAGCTCAGCGGATCTGACAGCGCCCCACTACGCCTGTTATTCCAGAAACACATTATCACATTGTTTGGGTGGGAACGAGGGGGTGGCGGGTCAGTCCCCGGTCTCCCCCCTTTTTACCCCTATTTTTGTCCCGTGGTCCCTCCTTTTTTCCCCTGCCCACCCCCACCCTTAACAGGGATGCCTGAGGATCTCCTGGCCTCCCGTCGGGGCCATTGGGGCTCTTAGGATTAAGGGTCTCCTTTCCTATCGGCCGGTATCGGGTGAAGACATCTGAGAGAGACAATCGGAGGGTATTAGACACCCCAGGACAGGTTCGGTGTATCGTTGTGTTATTCTATTGTACTGCTGGTGCGATCACCGGATCTATGCAGAGTTAAATGGAGGTTGCGGGAGGGTGATATCATCCCCTTTTTTGTCTGTCTCTAACCTGCTCATTAGTTAAATGGTACCGAATATTGCTCAAACAGAGGGAGGGGAAGGGGAAGGGAAAAGAGAAACAAAGGGAAAAAAAAAAAAAAAAAAAAAAAAAAAAAAAAAAAAAAAAAAAAAAAAAAAAAAAAAAAAAAAAAAAAAAGGGGAAGAGTGAGAGGGGGACGGTACAGGGGGGAGGTCACGAGGGAGAGGAGAAAGGTCAAAAGTGGTTCACTACTTTCTAGATACATGTATACAAGTGGCACTAAAATGAGTGCTTGCTATTAGACGACACAATTCTCATCGAGAGTCTCCCCTACGGGATGGGTCAGACCTGCAAATGCTACACCAATAGCCCCTCCCAGAGTACAGGTGGTGGCAGAATTCCACATTCCCTGTCTTAGATAGCTACACCCCCCATTATAAGCATCATTAACGTCGGTGATAAGCACCTCTACATTTCCGTACAACATGGTTCTCCCGGGCACTTGGCTAGGGAGATACAGGCTGGGAGTGTACATTTGTGGGCCCTTTTGGCACAATCAGCTGTCCCCCTGTGCGGCTGCTTGCCCCCTCTGGCAGGTCCGATGACCGTGGCTTGCGAGGCCTGGCCATGGGGGGCGACCATACGAACGGGGGAACATTAAACTCTGACAGTGGGGCGGTTTTTTTGGGTGCCCCCGGCAGGGAGAAAATGATGTGGTGCTGGCACATAATAGAGTATTACCTGTCTCCCCAATGTACGATTGCGCCATATGATCCCGGAGAGGGACAATTGTAATGAGATACAGGGGATTTTTATTCACGTGGCAGAGAAAACTCAAAGCGATATACGGCTCGTAATGAACGTACTTAGTTTGATCTGCCTGCACCATTATTATTAGCTTGTCTGATACTTACGATATGGCATCCCTGGATGCATCCTTACGCATAGTTTAGTACAATCCCCCACTCCATAACACCCGATCAACCTCGGGGGTCATGAACAAACTGCTGAACGTAAGAATTGGCTCTTTACGGGCACGAGGGCGGTATGGGTCTGGGGGGGCCTGTAGATGGGAGATAGACAGACAGAAGCGGGATTGAGGGGTCAGAGGGAGAGGGGGGGAGGGAGGATGAGGGAGAAAGGGACAACGGGGAGAAAAAAAAAAAAAAGCAAAAATAATGAAAAATAACAATGTTGTCAAATGGCAAAATATTAACCAAGGACCAAATGCATTGTATGTTACGTATTAATAGAGCTGAACCTACTAGCCTGTAACACGTTTATTAAAATGTGATCTGTAAATAGTTTCATTAGAATTTAGTGCTTCCTTTGTCCCAGTGGTGTAACAGCGGAGTGGAGGGAAATAAACGTGGGTTGGCGACCCCGATAGCACAGGGCCTTGAGCCCAGACAGTTTGATTTACTCACTGGGCCCAGGCAGGGCGGAGTATTTTTGCGAGGGCTCCGCGATCAGCATCAGAACACATGGGGGGCGGGAAAGATACCCCCAATAGACTGGGTGGCACGGCTCCCTTAGCGGTTATTATAGAGGTCCAAGCGAAATACACATGGCGCCTATGCGGAGGAGCGCTAGATCCCATCGTTTCCTCCCAACGTTGACCGTGGCTGGAATGAGGGATGATGTCCCCCACAAAAATCTGGCGAATGGTAAGACCAGATTTTCTGTTCATCGGACTGAGTCCGGATGTAGTTCTTATTATTCTATATCTTTTTCACTTTCTACCTTTTCTTCCCTACTCTTTACCTTTATCCTGAGGGGTGGTGGATGCGGGGGGCAAGCAGTGGTCCTCTTTCAGGGACCTATTGGGGTACAGGCAGTGCCCTCGGTCTTGAGAAACACATATAGCACCATAACGGCTCCGCCTGATGGAGATTAAGATAATTTCCCTGAATACAAAGGGCCTCAACACTCCAAAGAAGCGTCGACTCCTGCTTCGAGAATTAAAGAGGATGAGTGCGGACATTGCTTTTGTTCAAGAAACCCACCTACCTAAACAGGCCGTTTTTCGGTTGAGGGACCACACATACGCTGGTTCGTATGAGGCTAGGTCCCACTGTAAACGTAACGGGGTGGCAATTCTCATTAGAGGCAGTTGCCCCTTCCGGGAGACACATCACGAAGCAGACCCGGACGGTCGGTACATTATTGTTTCAGGCATCTTACACTCACATCCCATCCATCTGATTAATATATACGCACCAAATCAGCCTGACACAAGGTTCTGGGAAGGGCTACGAGGGAAAATCTCGGGGATGACCCACGGAATGATATTCTTAGGCGGCGACTTCAATGCGGTCACGTGTCCAGCGGCAGACAGGAGCTCACGGAGGGGAACTCCTAGATCACAGGGTAGGGGCGGCCAGGATCGCCTTCTTAAAGACTTCATGTCTGAGACCAGACTGGTAGATATATGGCGAGCACACCATCCGGGGGATAAGGACTACTCCTTTTATTCAGCTCCTCACGGAACGTATTCTAGGATAGATCTATTCTTAACCAACGCTGCGGGAATGTCCCGAACGGTAGGGTCACAGGTGGGTAATATATCTTGGTCGGATCACGCGGATATCTCCATCACATTAGGCAACCTATGCGTAGCTTCACCATGGACATGGAAATTGAACACGTCCCTGCTTCGTGACCCGAAAATCCTGGAACAAACTAGGAAAGAAATAGCAGATTACTTTGAGATCAACACCACGCCCGACGTGAACGCGAGCACGGTATGGGCGGCCCACAAAGCGGTCATCAGGGGGACCCTAATTAAACTGGCCACTAGGAGAAAGAAAACGAAGTACCAGAAACTGGAATTTCTACTAGGAAGACTGAGATCCCTAGAACAAAAACACCAAACTGAGCCAACAGAGGGCAACCTCAGACAATTGGAGGCGATCAGACGTGACACCCGAACCTTACTACTTGATGATACGGTGAGATCTATGACCTGGTCCAAAAGGACCTTTTTCGAAAAGGCAAACAAGATGGACACCCTCCTGGCCAGGACGCTTCGCCCGAGGCAGGGGAGGTCCCACATAACTGCACTTAAACACCCTGACGGCATGACGAGGACAAACCCAGTGGAGATAGCAAAGATATTCGAAGATTTCTACCGACGGCTGTATAATCACACCCCAGATGGGAGTCCCTTAGGGGAGCACGAGGAGGAGTATATAAGGCAATATCTGGACAGGTTAGGAATGAAAAAATTGAATGAGGAGATGGCAAACACTTTAGCGGCACCTATCTCAGAAGAGGAAATAGATAAAGCTATATCGAGCCTGAAAGGCAACAAAGCACCAGGTCCAGATGGTTTCGATGGCACATACTATAAAACATTCAGGGAAGAACTCACGCCTCAATTGACCCGTCTTTTTGACGATCTCCGGCAGGGTGGTCAATTAGCCCATGATATGTCACTGGCGACCATGGTACTGTTGCCCAAACCTGGAAAGGATCCACTTTACCCCGAGAACTACAGACCTATCTCGCTGATCAATCACGATCTTAAGATCTTAGCAAAAATTCAAGCAGATAGATTAAATCCGCTTTTGCACTCTATAATTCATGCAGACCAAGTGGGTTTTATTCAAGGTCGGCAATTGTTCGAAAACACAAGAAGGAACATTGACTTGATTTGGAAACAAGTGACCTCAGAGACCCCTACATTAGTGGTATCCATAGATGCAGAGAAAGCTTTCGATAGGGTCAGGTGGCAATTCCTCTTTCCAGTTTTAAAGAGTTTGGGCCTCCCAGATGAATTCCTCACAATAACAAGAGCAATGTACCACAACGTTAGAGCACAGGTGCAGATATCGGGAGCTCCGCTACATCCTTTCAATTTGTACAATGGAACAAGACAGGGTTGCCCACTATCTCCCCTTCTTTTTGTCTTAGCGCTCGAGCCCCTACTTCAAGCGATACGCCAACATCCGAACATTGCAGGGGTAAGGGTGGGAGACAAAGAGTTTAAGGTGTCGGCTTACGCAGACGATGTCCTATTGACCATTACAACCCCTCATGAATCAATGATGGCGATACAGGATGTAATAACGGAATTCGGTATGGTATCAGGTTATAAAGCAAACATTCAGAAGTCCAGTGCCCTCCCGATCTATATACCACAAGACGTCATAGCTAGATTGCAGGAGACCCACCAAATAAGAATGGAAAGGGATTCTCTGAAGTATTTAGGGATAAATCTGACAGCGGACCCCGTACGTCTATATTCTGCTAACTATGCTCCGCTGCTCAGGGAACTGACGGGAGACCTCGACAAGTGGACAGATAAACCTATTTCCTGGATGGGCAGGATTAACTCGGTAAAGATGAACATTCTTCCACGTATATTGTTTCTTTTCCAGGCTCTGCCCATCCGGGTCACAAAGACACAACTGATTCCCCTGCAAAGATCTATAGGAGATTTTATTTGGCAGAATAAGAGACACAGAATCTCTAAACAGATCTTATACAGACGAAAGGATAGGGGGGGTCTGGGCCTCCCAAATCTTTACTTCTACTATCTGGCGGCCCAATTGACGCAGATCGCCATGTGGCACTCCACGCCAGATGAGAGAAGGTGGGTAGACATCGAATCTATGATGGTGGGCGTAGATGTGCCACAGTTTACAATATGGGTTCCCAAAGAACACAGACCGATGATACGGGTCACGTCCCCGGCAATCCTAAACTCGATTTGGATATGGGACAAATGTACCACCAAATATGGGCTGGCGTCATCCCCCTCTCCCTTGACCCCGATCCTCCGCAATAGAGAATTCCCTCCCGGCATGGCCCCCAGAAATTTCCGCAATATAGAAAGAACGGGTCTACAACGGCTACATCAGCTATATCAAAACGGGGAGCTTATACAATTTGCAGACTTACAATCGGGTAACCATCTAACCCCCGCGGACTTCTTCAGGTTTGTCCAAATTCGGGACTTCGCGAAACAACAACATATTAAAACTGCTGCCCTGGGGAAACCCACCTTCTATGAGAAGCTATGCTCCGACGGGGTTTCCCCCAAGGGGATGATCACGTTAATATATGCACATCTCAGTGAAGAAAATAGAGAATGGGGAAGTTTGTCTTATACGGCCCAATGGGAGACCGACCTCGGGGAGGTTCTAGAGGGGGTAGAGTGGCAGGAAATATGGGAAGCGAACGCAAAAGTCTCAATATGTGTCACCCTCCAGGAGCAGTCTTGGAAAACTATGTTTCGGTGGTACACTACTCCAATCAAATTACATAAAATGCACAAACTGGAGACGGATGATTGCTGGAGGGGATGGGGGATCCGAGGATCATACATCCACATGTGGTGGGAATGCCCGAAGCTGCGGGTTTTTTGGGGATCTGTGGAGGATTTGGTGAGACAAACTTTCGATCGGCCCCTAAAACTTGATCCGTGGATCTACTTGCTGAATAGATCGGTAGACGGGTGGACAAAGAGGGAACAGACACTAGTACACAAGATTACCTTGTGTGCACGTCGCGCGATAGCGTTAGCGTGGCTCACTCCTGAGGGCCCAGAATTCTCAGGGGTTATCTCTAGAATCAAAGAGTGTAGAATCATGGACGATCTAACTGCAAGGGTGAGAGGGAACACTACGACATTCCAAAAAACATGGGAACCATGGGACAATAGCATACTGGGTTCGAACGAAGATTGAGAGCCTCACACAAGTGGGAATGAACTCATGATATCCACATCCTTATGTAAAGTGACACGTCTGTTAATGCCACAACTGAACTGCCCCCCCCCCCCCATCCGCCCTCCCTCCACCTCCTTCTTTGCTATTTCCTTTTTCTTGGGTTTTCTATCCTATCCTTTTCCTCTCCTTTTCTAATTATTCTTAATTCTTTGTTTTCCGTTTCTTTATTCAAGCAGGATCATACGGTCAGAGGACTGAAGCAGCTAAAGTACTGAAGGGATAAACGTACATAAAGGCTAATCGTTTTCCCTATCGGTCTGCCCTAGGTTAAAATAACTTACCCTAATGGACTGGGGGCCCCAAGGTTTTTTCTGGCAGAAAGCGCATGCAAGGTCCAGGTCGAGTATTACCTATCTACAAGCTATGTAATTCCTTGTGGCTCCCTTGTGAGCCTAAATATGTATATTATACCTGTTTTGTTTATAGTGTTTTGTAAAACCTTCCGTAGCCGTCAGGTACCAAGGTTTTCTTAATTCGAGGAAAGGGCTAAGGTTATATTAGGGGATGTACGCCATGTTCTCAAAACTTATATCCAAATTGGCTTCTGCGTAAGCCCCAAAGTTACATGCATTCCTGTTGTGTATATTGTGCAAACTCAAAGTTTTATAAAAATAGAAAAATCCCTTGGCAGGTAGCCAAATTAGCTTATAGGCTCCATAATTTACTGTCTATGCATTATATTAGCACATGTATAAATACAATTGAACTTGCTTACTGTTTATCAGGCTTTTGCACAAGCCGTCACGTTAATGTTACCTGACTACCATTGCCAAGATGAAAAAATAAAGAATTTAAAAAAAAAGTGAACAGATAGATTTTATTCTAGAGGGCATTTTTTTAATCTTGACCAACAATTTTTTTTGGTTTGAGGGTGTATTTTATCTCCAGATCTGTGGAACGGCGATGGGCACCAAGTTTGCCCCCAGTTACGCTAATCTATTCATGGCATTCTGGGAGGAAGCCTTCGTCACCCAGGGCCATGAGTGGGGGGCATACTTGGTGGCCTATCGCCGTTACATAGATGACATATTTTTTATTTGGACAGGCAACCATGATCAATTGAATAATTTTATTACATATCTGAATTCAAACGATTGGGGGATTCACCTAACGAGTTCTATCAGTGAAGAAAAAATTTATTTTTTAGACCTGCATATATATATAGAGGATGATAAGATCAACACAAAAAATTTTTTTAAACCAGTGGATGCTAATGGGTATATAGAAAGAAATAGTTGTCACCATAACCCATGGCTGGAGAACGCACCAAGAGGCCAATTTCTAAGGATTCGAAGGAATTGTAAAAAAGAATCCGATTATATAGAACAGGCCAAATATATCGAACAGCAATTTATAGAAAAAGGTTACAACAAAGAAATTTTAGAAAGAGACATGAAAGAAGTGAAAGGAATACCAAGAAAAGAACTCATAAAATATAAATCTAAAAAAGAGCAAGGAACCAGTAACAATATACCCTTTATCTGTAATTACAATGGACGGAACAAACAAATAAGGAAAATAATCAGAAAACACTGGCATTTGCTACAAGATGATCCTATCCTTAATAAGATTTTACAGCCGGAGCCCAAAATTATCTATAGAGGTGCAAAGAATTTTAAGAACATCTTAGTTAAGAGTTGCCTTAGCCCCAATAAACCCAGCCATTTTTTAGAGGATCTAAAAGGCTTTTATGGATGTGGGATGTGTTTACACTGTAGAACAACTAGAAGTAAAAAAAGACACCTGAAAGATATAGGACACATTGTAAAAAAACCCTATTGCATAAAGGACCACCTTACCTGTCACACAAAAGGTATCATATATATTTTGAAATGCTCATGTGATCTTTTATATATAGGCAGAACAATTAGACCATTGAAAGTAAGGATCGGAGAACACATTAGAAACATTAGAAATGGACTAGAAACACATAGTGTTCCCCTTCACTTTAAGGAAATGCATGATCAGGATCCCAGTAATTTATTCTTCTGTGCCATCAAGGAAGTTAAAAGGGATTGGAGGGGTGGAGACTATATTAGAAAATTAGGAAAAGAAGAAATGAAGTTTATCTTTGAGTTTAATTCTCTAGCCCCGTATGGTCTAAATGTCGACTTTGAAATATGTCATTTTTAGTGCTTATGCAAAGGATTACTTTCTACTTCTATATGTTATACCATGCAGGTTTATATATTTTAGTTATAGTATTGCCCTTTTAGATAGATGATGATTTTATGCATATCTGTTTTTTACCACTGATATATATCAGTGGGGTGTATATTTTATTATCATTTATATCTTTTTTATATATATTTTATAGATACATTTTTAGACATGTACCTTTTACATAAATTCTTCTTTTTTTCTCTCTCTTTTCCCTTTTTCTTTTATATACATCCTGTATTTTGTATTAGCACGTTTTCTCCTTATATCATGTAAAAACTACTATATTCCCTTTTACTGCTTTAAGTTTTAAACTCTGTATACAAATATGTCTCTACATAGAGCTGGTATACACAAAGACTGGACATAGAAAGGGGAACGTTAAAACGTTCCAAATAAGAGACTTTAAGGGAACTTTGCATTGCGTTCCAATTGTGGAACGCAGTAACCGGAAGTTATGAGAGATCGGCTCTTTCTGTGATACACGACGGCTGTGCGTTCCAAGGGTGGAACGCAAGGACCGGAAACCGGAAGTCCGGCGAGCCGGCAATGCAGAGAGAAAGAGGAAAAAAAGCGGCAATGAAAGGCTTTTTAAACGAAGAACAATTTGGGAACATTTACAGCAACTGAGGAAGCCCCTTGAAGGGGCGAAACGCGTTTTGCTACTAAGACCATTAAGACTGCTCAACAGAGTTTGTAAGGTCTCTTAAATATTCTTTTTATTTTTGTTTATACTAATAAATGTTATTTTATTTCACCTGTGAGCCTGTGATTACCCTGCATACGGAACCTGGAACACAGAGGAGGGAGTGGGACTCTTTACATCCCACAAAATGAATTACTTGAGCCCATACTTTGGTGGCTCCATCCTTGTGAGTTTGCATTTGGCAAGACCTTATTGTATTTGCATAATTAAGAGTACAAGCAATATTGCACTATTTTCTGCTATTTTATTCTTTTTAGAGTATACTGTATGAAATGTACCTAAGCAAAGGACTACTTGAAAAGTGCATGTAAGATACTCCACCTTATACCTTGTTGTGTCTATAACTCTTTATTGGTGAAGGCTAAGAGAACCCCACCAAGGTGTTAGAGTTTCCTACATTTTTGCATTTAGCACATATTGGGTCACTGTTATCTATTTTTTATTAATGGAACACTTTAACCTAAGGATTTCTGTGTGTCTCAGAGCATATAGTGATTACTTTTCTTTCTTTGAACTTAAATAATTATCTGTACATTACCAAATCTGTCTGCAGAAGAATATTGATACTTAGTCTCCAGAAGGATATTGATACTTTAGAGAGAGTTCAGAGAAGGGCTACTAAACTGGTTCATGGATTGCAGGATAAAACTTACGAGGAAAGGTTGAAGGAACTTAACATGTATATCTTGGAGGAAAGACGAAACAGGGGGGGATATGATAGAAACATTTAAAGGGACACTATAGTCACCCAGACCACTTCAGCTCAATTAAGTGGTCTGGGTGCCAGGTCCCTCAGGTTTTAACCCTTCAGATGCAAACATAGCAGTTTCAGAGAAACTGCTATGTTTACATTTGGGGTTAAGCCAGCCTCTAGTGGCTGTCTTCCGGACAGCCACTAGAGGCGCATCTGCGACGCTGGAGACATATTATGCCTCCATCGCGCAAATGCTTTCCTTTTGACAGCTTGAATGCGCGCATGGCACTTGCCGTGCATGCGCATTCGCCTCCGCTGATGTCGGACGGGGGAGCTGACGTCGGCGGGGGAGGAGAGGTCACCAGCGCCGGCGCTGGAATAAGGTAAGCTGCTGAAGGGGGTTTAACCCCTTCAGCGCCACGGG